AAACCTTCGGTAATATCCGGCTAATCCTAAAAAGCTTCGGATCTCCGTGGGACTTTTCGGTTGTTCCCACTTCATTACAGCTTCAATCTTTGCTGGATCAACCATTATCCCTTCTTGGTTGACCACGTGACCCAAGAATTGGACTTCACGAATCCAAAAATCACATTTGGAGAACTTAGCATACAGCTTCTCCTTCTTCAAGACTTCTAACACTTCTCGCAAGTGTCTGCCATGCTCCTCCTGGCTTTTTGAGTAAATCAGAATGTCGTCTATGAACACTATCACAGATTTATCAAGGAACGGATTACAAACCCTATTCATTAAATCCATGAATGCTGCCGGAGCATTGGTTAGTCCAAACGACATAACCAAGAACTCGTAGTGTCCATATCTAGTTCTGAACGCAGTCTTCTCTATATCCTGCTCTCTCACTTTCAGCTGATGATATCCTGACCTTAGGTCGATCTTCGAGAAATAGCTCGAACCTTGTAGTTGATCGAATAGGTCATCAATCCTCGGCAACGGATATCTATTCTTTATTGTTGCCTTATTCAGCTCTCGGTAATCAATGCACATTCTCATACTTCCATCTTTCTTCTTCACGAATAACACCGGAGCTCCCCAGGGTGATGAACTAGGTCTAATGAAACCTTTGTCCAATAACTCCTGAAGTTGCATCATCAGCTCCTTCATCTCCGTCGGTGCTAATCGATAAGGTGCTTTTGCAATTGGCGTTGTTCCTGGTAACAAGTCAATACGGAATTCCACTTGTCGATCAGGCGGTAATCCAGGAAGATCTTCGGGAAATACTTCCGGATAATCACACACCACAGGAATACTCTGCATCACCTTCTTCTCCTTCTTAGCATCAATCACGAATGCTAAATATGATGTACATCCCTTGGTCAAACACTTTCTGGATTTCATTAGGGAAATGATTCCAGAATTCACTCGACGTTTGTCTCCATACACCATAAACGATTCCTTCCCTGGCGGGTTTACCTTCACTATCTTTTTCTTGCACAAAATTTCGGCATCATTGGCGCTAAGCCAATCCATTCCCAAAACGATGTCGAAACCATTAAGTTCGATAGGTAATAATTCTTCGTGAAACTTATTCCCATTAAGGTCGATTAAGATGTTTTTCATACGATGGCTAACAGGTACAAACTTGCCACTAGCAACTTCGACTAATAAAGCATTATCTAGTCTATCAACAGGCAAGGCTAGTTTTCTACCAAATTCATGCGATATAAAGGAGTAGTTGGCTCCAGAATCAAATAAAATTTGGGCAGGCAAATTGTTAACGAGAAAGGTACCTGAAGCGACATCAGCTTCATCTTTAGCAGCTTCCAGTGTCATCTGGAATGCTCTCGCCTTTGGCTTTGGCGGAATGTTGGGTCTAGCTGCCTCCTTCTTCTTCGGGCAGTCCCTCGACATGTGTCCCTCCTCACCACAACCATAACAAACTTTCTTAGTGAGGGTACATTCATTGGCATAGTGACCTGGCTTTCCACACTTGTAGCATGTGGTCACTACCTCACATTTTCCATGATGCTTCTTCTTACATTTGTCGCACCATTTCGCTTCGCCTCCACTTCTCCTCGAACCAGACTTCGAGAACTTGTTTTTCTTATTGGACCCTGAAGTTCCATCGAACTTCCTCTTTTCACCAACTTCTATCCTTTCCAGACCCTTTTCCTTCTGCTGGGCCTCCACATTCTTAGCTGCACGAACAGCCGTTTTCAGAGTAGTTGCCATCTTGACTGTCGGGCCAAAGTCGGCAGGCAGTCCATTAGCAAACCTCTCAATCTTGGAGAGTTCCGTTGGCACTAGGTACGGAAATAATTTCATTTTCTCAGTGAATGCCGCAGCATAGTCGTCTACGCTCATCCTCCCCTTCTTCAAGTTTTGGAACTCATTGTTCAGATCAATCAGATCTATCTCTGAACAATATTGCACGCTTAATTGTTCCAAGAACTCTTCCCATGACATTTTCAGGGCTTCTCCTCATGGCATAGTATCTGCCAACAACTTCCACCAACTTAATACTCCAGTCTTCAGTTGTCTGACTGCAAAGACAGTCTTCTGTTTGTTGCTACAGTCGCAACTTTCAAATACCATCTCCATTTCGGAGATCCAATCCATTATTTCAACAGGCTTTGGGCTCCCAGAAAGACTTGGCGGTTTGGCGCCCAAGAAATTCTTGTACATTCGCCCATCGTTGTTGTTTCTCCTTTCTGGATTGTTCCTTCGTTCTTCTTGAGTCCCAACTTGACTCATAATGCGACTATTGTTCCCTTCCTCCGATTGCTCGGGAATCAATTCAGGTTCCTCAATAGGTATGATAGGTTCATCCCTATTATTATGCAACATTTGTCGCATCTCCTCCCTTTGTTCGGCTAACATAGCCCGAATCATGGCTTGCACTCCAGCCATGGTGATCTGTTCTGGTGCTGCTGCTACAACAGGTATTTGCTCAATCACTGCGGTTGATTCCTGTTTTCATCCGCGTTTCCAACGCCACTCCTTGTTCTCACCATTTTTGATCTACACACCGAATAAGGTGAAATTTAGATCTTCGATCATGATAGATTTCAAATCATCCTTATCACTCGAAACGATTACATGCTAGTTCTAATATCGTATACATACGCTTAGAATCCTAAACACATAAACCTCAGATCCGGTTGGCAACAAACCGTAGATCCGAACAAATAATATCATATATGGCAACATATAACATTTAGCACATAAAAGCATTTTAGGCAACGTTCCTAAAATAAACTAGTGCTTGTGTCTAAAATCCAACAGACACACATCTCAAATTCCACTTAGCATTCTAAGTTTAAGTTTAGAAATCCTACAAATTCCTAGTTCGCTTAAACTAATGCTCTGATACCAACTGTGACATCCCCAAAATCACGGCCAGAAAAGACCGATTTTCATTTATGCTTTTAAAATAATTTCAGAGTAAATCCCTTGATTTGAAAGAGTTGCGGAATTTGTTCCCAAAACAAAACATGATAAAACAATGTTTACCAAAGCATTTCATAAAAGAAATGTATTTTTCATTATATAATCAAAAACTCGGGGTGTCATGTTCCGATACAGACCATAAGCATAAACGATAACATTACAAGTCATTCAACAAATATATACATATGCAGACTTGTAAACAAAACAACTTGATGGTTCATCCATCTTACGCCCTTGCGCCACTTCCTGTAATACAAATAAAACTGAGTGGGTCAGGCTTGGGAGCCTGGTGAGCATATAGGGTTTTCAACCCACAATAAATAAATTATATTTAATTTCACCAACCAATCACTATCCCGATTACCCATTCCCGTTATCCTCACTTTACGTCCCTAAAACAACATCTATCTCAAGGGACCTAATCTAGGATTTTCATCGGGACGGACATTACTGCTAAGGGGTTTCCTCAACAATAGATATCCTAAAGGCAACCATGAGGGGGATAGAGTACACCGGTGAACACATCGTTCACAACACCTACAGGTTATGAACCTGCTAGCGTTCCACGAGACTGTCTAGAAGGAGTCTGTGGTCGTTATCCATACTCCGCTGAATAACTAGGTCAACAACAACAACATCGAGGCCTCTCATCTGTTTATTACACACCAACTATCTACCCATGTTCTACCCAACATATTAGTAGATAAAAATATATTTTTTATACATAGTTTAAAACCTGTATAGCATTTTCATCCAATACATATTTCACATAACAGATGAGGCATACCCACATAACACGTATTTCATAGAAAACAATTCAGATCTATGAGATTGAAAAGAGTGAATATACATTCACGCACATAACAACAAAATTATACACATAACACGTATTTTGTATAAAATACTTCATAATTATGCGTTAGAAGAAATTAACTACACACTCACTTGATCAGAAGATGATCGGACAGCACTACGTCTCGTAGAAGTAGTAATCCTTAGCAGATCTGGAAGATCTCTACAAAAATCGAACTACTCGCGGGCAGAGCTTCGGCTCGGAAACCGCACTTCTCGGGATCTTCGGGATCTCGGGACTTGCTTCGGGGCTCGGGAATATTACCGGGGCTTCGGGGTATATCTGGCACGCAAATCGAGGCAAAACAGGAGAGAGAATGGAGAAAAATAGCAAAGAAGCCGGCTGCCCTTGCATCCTATTTATAGGAGGCTGGAGCCTCGGAGTACGCGGGGCGTACTGGTCCGAAATCGTCACTGCGTTCGTCATCCGAAGTCCTCGAGTGCGAGTGTCGACATCTTCGCTGTACGCGGGGCGTACTCCGGATGAGTCCGGTGACTCGCCTTCGGATAAGGCCGGATTTTCCAATTAAAATTAAATACAAATTATTTAATAAACTTCGGAAATTCATATCTTCTTCATACGAACTCCGTTTTTGACGTTCTTTATATACACGCGAAGGTGAGACTATGCTCTACAACTTTCGTTTAGACCCCGTCGGCTAATTTTGAATTTATTTTTATTATTTATTTTTAATAGGCCGGGACAGAAAATTTCTTTATAAATTCATAACTTCTTCGTTTGACGTCCGTTCTCGCCTAACTTTTTATCGCTTTGATACTAACAACGAGATATTCGATTCTCGTTTAGATCACTAAGGCTAACTATCACTCTAACGTAAATTTCACTTTTTACGTCATTCAGCGTTGCCGGTTCTGTCGCGAAACTTCGACAGGTCATAACTTCCTCGTTATAACTCGGATTTCGGCATTCTTTATATCTTCGGAAACCTTGTTTCAACTACTACAACATTATCTAAAGATATCAAGTTTATTTTACACTTAAATTTTGACGCTTATTTTTATTCTTAATTAATCAAACCACATAATTAAGCAATTAAGCACAAAACACATAATACTCAAATAATACACTTCTATTATTTCAAAACGGGTTACAAAGGTTAACCTAGACTATTACATTGCTAAAAATGGCAAGCCCAGAAAGACAGGCGTTACAAACCAGTAGGCGGTGTCAGAGGGGGTGACGCTGGTGTAGCGGAAGGAGAGGGTGTCGTGGTTGCGGGAGCAGAAGCAACACACTTAGGAGATGCGACAAGAGGAGAAAGAGAGTCATCATCATCCTGAACAAGGGAGTCTAACTCAGAATTACTGGGAGCAGCGTGAAATTCAAAGTAGGGAAGATGATCTTCATCAAATACCACATGTCTAGAGATAATGAAACGTTGAATGATGATGAGATCAAGGCATTTATGGCCTTTATGATCAGAAGCAGGGCCAAGATAAACACATGCACTCGAACGAGGTGAGAGTTTGTGTGGAGCTATAGCGCTGGTGTTTGGATAACATAGACAACCAAAGACACGCATATGATCATAAGTAGGAAAAAAACCAAATAGAACCTCAAACGGGGTTTTATAGGAAGGGTGGTGGTAGGAAGAAGATTAAGGGTGTGAATGGCGGTGTGAAGAGCTTCTACCCAAAACTTGGTGGAAAGAGACACTTGAAACAGAATCGTGTGCAAAATATTGTTGATGGAGCGAATGGATCTTTTGGCTTTATCGTTTTGAGGTGACGTGTACGGACATGAGAAACAAACAGAAATGCCATTAGTTTGGAAATAAGAAAGAAGTAATTGGTTGCTAAATTCACGTCCATTATCACACTGAAAAGATTGGATGTCTATTTTAAATTGATTTTTGACATACATTCTAAAGTTACAAAAAATGGAATAAACTTCAGATTTTGCACGTAAAGGATAAACCCATAAGAAATGAGAAAAATCATCCAAAAATAAAATATAATACTTAAAATCATCTAATCTTATAATAGGTGATGTCCATAAGTCAGAATATATAAGCTCAAAAAAAGAGAAGTTTTAGACGTAGATGAAGAGAAAGTCAAACGACTATGTTTCTCAAGTTGACATGCATGCCAAAGTGGGAGCTTATTTGAGTTGCTAGAAATAAAATCACGAGAATGCAAAAAACTAAGAACTGATGATCCAGGATGACCAAGACGTCGATGCCATGTAGGAAGAGAGACCGTGGCAAGAGCCTTGGATAGAGATGAAGGGTGGCACGGATACAAATCACTGACACTGTCGACACGGTGGAGAAGAGAACCTGTATTAAGATCCTTCACAGCAAAACCAAACTGGTTAAATGTAACAGAAACCCAATTATCAGTAGTAAATTTACGAACAAAGATAAGATTTTTGACCATTTGATTTGAAACCAAAACATCATTTAAATGAAGTTTGTTTTGAGAGTTAGGAAGAAATGAGTGACCAATGTGAGTAACCGGAAGGAGTGCACCATTACCAACCATAATAGATCTAGAATTACATGGTGTTAGAGTAGACATGTTACCTTGGTTAAAAGACATGTGGGTGCTCGCACTGGTATCCATGTAGTAGTGATTATCGGGAGGCGGTTGAACTGACATGGCCTGAAACACAAATGAGAGATCGGTTGGTTGTTGTTGTTGTGATCTAGCTGAGGTGTGGCTGCCAAAAAAGGATGGTGAAGGCAGAAAACCCTGGGCTGTTGCGACTTGGCCTGGGGGCCTGATCTGCGGTGACATGGGTTGCGGCCCATAGAAGAACTGATGCGGATAAGCTTGCAGCATGGGAGCAGAGGGCTGGAGCGGCATGTTGGGCTAGAGCGGCTACTGTAGCGCTTGCTGGGCTGATCCGGCAGAAAGTGTGCCAAGCACTGGTGAGGGTGAAGGCTGTCCCAATTGGCTATAGTAATACATGGGTTGCTGTGGAGACGAACCCACATTTGAACTTGCTACACCATAGCAATAAATAGGTTGTTGTTGAGGAAATCTTTTCATAGATGCACTTGGATGTGATCCCATAACACTTGCAAATTGAGATTGTTGACACGAACTGGTACCTAAAACATGATTAGTACTAGAATATATGCTAGAATTACCTCCCCCTGGAAGTGGCCCGATGATTATTACGGTTTCTATTCCACTTTGTCTTAGATTTTCTGGAATTATTGACACTGGAATATAAAGTCGGACTGGGAATTGGATCAACAACATCATCGGGATTGTCTTCGCGACCCTCATGAACAAGAAGCATGTTCTTAGATTGTAAAAAAGTGGGAAAAGGGTTTGTATTGGTGACAACATCAATGATGCTTTGGTATGAGGAGGGTGGTCCACGTAAGATTTGGATCACTAGTTCTGTTTCCTTTATTGTAGAGTCGACATCGGCGAGAGCATCAACTAAATTCTTGAGATTATGACAGTAGTCAGCAATGGAAGATGCACCTTTTCGGGTGTTACGAAACTGTTCCTGTAATTGAAGCATCCTTGGCATTTTATTGTTAAGAAAAAATTCATGCAATTTGTCCCATAAATCTTTCATTGTACAGTCATCACTGGTAATAATTTGGAGAACACTGGGGTCACATGTGGAGTAGAACCATGACTTAACACGTGCATCAATAGATTCCCAATCTTCATCATTGTCACCAGAGGGATTAAATTTACATGTGATGCGTCCGAGGACCTTAGGGTGCGTTTGGTTGTGGAAAACTTTCAAGTTTTCTAGGAAGATTTTCCAAGAAAAATAGAAATTTTGAAAACGCGTTTGGTTCGTTCAGTTTTCCAAAGTTTTCTAAGAAAATGAAAATTTTCAGTTTTCCAAATTGTATGTAATTAGAAAAGTGATTTTTACAGTTTTCCAAATTTCTAAGATGGAAAATGAAAACTCCACCTGTTCCAACCAAACACGTTTTCATTGAAAATTTAAAATGAAAATTCAACCCTATTTTTTGAAAACATTTTCATAGAAAATGAAAACAGTTTTCCACAACCAAACGCACTCTTAGCACCTTTGCAGATGTCCTGAAAAATTCTGCACTAACGCTTGTATTTTGACCCATCGGTAGTGAGTTTGAAACTGAATTGATTAGAAAAATTTGCTACAGCATAAACTAGCTGTAGTGATGTAGGGGCTGGTGGGGCTGTGACAGATGTGGCAGCAGAGGTTGTCATAATACCAGAAAATCACAGAACTCGTGGAATAAAAAACACACAATAAAATCAGAACACCAACCTTTGGCAGAGGGATTGTAGCAAGATAACTAGCACCAATCCGTGAGAGTTGACATGAACAGGGAACAATAGTGAGTGGTTTGTTTTCTGCTGATGTGAATTTGTCAAGAGGCAGCAGTTGTAGTTGTGTGATCGTGAACAGAGATGGAGGCATTAATTGCAGAAGAAAATTAAGGAAGAGGGTTAATTTAATTTGACCTGGATGAAGAAGAAATAAAATCGACACTAGATGATTGTCGATGGTTGCATGTGACCATAGAAAAATCCTTGGCTTGATACCATGTTGGTTTGTGAAAATACCCGTTAGGGTTTCCGATGCATTCCATACGTATAAATAATACACCAGCTATATTATATTACAGTGAGGACCCTATACTATCAATATATATACCTACACTATACAACAATAAAAGAAATAGTTTACTAACAGATTTCTTTATTTGAGGATCGTGACAAGCCATGGGACATATAAAACCCTCGAAGATTACATAATATGCAACGTGTTTTTCACTCGTGCACGACACATTTTTATAGATCGGAAAAATCAGTATAAATAGGTCATGTTCTTTTACCTATGGACCATATTGGAGAATTAGGAGAGATCAGAAACAATCATCATCCAACTTGCTTAATTATCATGATTAACACACTTTATATGATGGGTTTCTGTTTTATTTATGAGATTATAGGCTAATACTCTTTGCTTTTGCTTAGATGTAGATGAACCTTAAGATTGTGTGTTGATCCTATGATTCAAATATTGAAAGTTTAATTTATTTTGTTTGTTTAATCAAAGATCATGTTGGGTTATAGGGCATTCTTAAACACATGAATATGGTAGCCGAAGACTTAAACATTTCATATGTGCTTATGCAACCTATAAAGATCTACGTTTCAATGTATTACTACAACTACTAGATAGAACATAAAAACATACCTCTTTAGCAGCTAGAGACTTATTGGCTTGCGATCTTGTCCTTTCCACCTTTTCTTGGACGAGAGGATCCAAAATAGAATCCATCTAATGGTATCACACCCACGACACCAAAGAGAGAATCAAAATAAAATTAGGAAATATGATCAATTTCTACAAACCCTAGAGAGGGTTAAGAAATTCATGCTTAGAGAGGAAGAAGGAGAGTGACAAATTTTCAAGCCAAGGAATAAGCCAAAGGATTTAACCCCCAACACCCTATATATAGGTCGTAGTTGTTTAGCTCCAAAGCAACTCCAATTACATGTGAGGAAAGCCTTAAAGTTGTCTACCTCCCTATCCTTTGGGGTTTCTAAAATATTTCAAGCAACTAAATTTTAATTAATTAATAGTCAACCCCTTGAATTAATTAATTCCTAATTTAACTCAAAAGTAGTTTTTAATTAATTTTATCAGTCCATGATAAATTAATAAACTAATATTTATCCTCAATTATAGTTCTTTTAATTTCTCAAATGGGTCACGAGGACAACCCAAAAGACTATTATTATTATAAATATTACCAATAGTTAATGATCACGGATACTCTTTCTAATAGTCCCCCACTTTAACAAGTCATTAACTATACAATGTCTAGTACTTCTCCAATAATACACAGAGAGTTAATGTTGGTCCCTTGATATGAACACTCATGTATGAAATAATAGAAACATAGAAGAATAACACAAGTATTCAACAAACAAAAATTAATTTAAAACGTCCCAAAAATAAGACACTTTTTTTTTTCATTTTTAGATTAATAAAATAGTAAACCATATCATTGTCATAAAACCAAGGTAAACAACTTGTACCAATATATCAACAATCATCAGAGTAAATCATAGAATACAGAATCGATTGGTGGGTGCTCTGCAATCATCCCAAACTATTCCCTTTGGAACCAGAAATACCTGAAACATATACTGAAAATCGTAACCACGAAGCTTAGTGAGTTTCCCAAAATACAACATACCATACATACATAAATGTAACAACGTAAATTTTTGAACCAAAATTTTCAATTTAAAAACATAATTATGACAATTACAAAAATCCCAAATGTCACAATGTCAAAACATCAAATCCCATAATCCAAAAACTGTATATATGTAAAACTCCAGGATCCTCTGAATCATAACTCAAACTCTGATGTGTGTGTACAATCATGTCGACGCCTTCCCGTGATCCTAAGAAGTACCTTAAACACATAACACATAACACGATATGCACGAAGCTTAGTGAGTTCCTCAAAATACCACATACACAGATAATAAGCCTCTCATGGCTATAGCTCGTTGGACCCTCCGATTTGATCTCAGTGTGGACCCTTTGGTCTTACAGCTCGTTGGACCCTCCAGTCCGGTCTCAGTGTGGACCCTCTGGTCTCACGGCTCGTTGGACACTCAGGTCCGGTCTCAATATAATATAACATACATATATCATATAGACAAGATGCATAACTAAAGTAAACACATAAGATCCTCCGGTTACTCATAGATACTACTCATGGTAAGTATAGTGAGAAGACTCACCTCGTAAGAATTGGACAACCTCGAACTCAAATCACCAGTCTAGCCTCCGCCTAACACACACAATAATTATCCCTAATTAATAGTTCTCTCATGAAGCTAGACTAATCCTTCCATACACTCTCAAAAGGGTAAAAGACCATTTACCCATCCATGGGCTCAATAGACCACACGTTGACCAAAACACTAAAAGTCAACCAAAGTCAACAGCAGGGAGTTCGCTGCGCGTACCAGCTCTCTACGTTGGGCGTACTCAACTGCCATGCAGATATCGGGAATGCTCGACCCCTACATTGTGCGTACTGGGATTACGCCCAACGTAAGTCCCAATTTCACTCTCCTCACATATTTGGCCTTAATCAGTTAAGACCTTGGCTTATATCACAGATCTGGACCCCCTAATATCTCTTAATCCATAAAGTTAGTGACTTTAAGCCATTGCATGGCTGATTAGGTCACAAACACTCAAAACACTCATCCTCTTTCATCATAAAACTCATATCTCATGCATGGCTTGTTTCTAATGTACAAGATTGGGGTTTTATGACTTTACTCCATAAAATACACTAAAAGGGGTTGATCATGGTCTTTGGAGCTCATTATCTCATAAAGTCTCCATCTTTTGGGACAAAACCCTAAAATACTTCATATAAATGCACAAATCAAAAGAGTGAGAAAGCTTGAAGCTTTATACCTCTATGTGAAGCTTTCCACACAACTAAGCTCAGATCCAAAAGCCTGGACTCCCACTCCATCTTCTCCAAGGCTTCTTCTCCACTTCAAGAACACAAGATTACACTCACAAGCTATAAGAACGATGATTTAGGGTTAAGAGGGTTTGGTGTCTGGGAATGGTGGCTAGGAATGAGGCCATCATATCCTTTATATAGGGGACTCACCAATAATTGGGGTTTTCATTCTGGGCCTAGTACACCCAGCATACTAGGTGGTCTCTGCATCATATGCATGTATATGAGTATGCTGAGCGTACACTATAGTACGCACCATATACTCATTTACCACATTTTCTCTAATAAGGGACAAAATGGAAAAGTTCTCAAAAGATCAAGGTTTACAAGGTATACCTGGACTTGGGACGTTATAATTCTCCCCTACTAGAATCAGACTTTGCCCTTGAAGTCATGCTCTGTAAATAAGTCTGGATGCTGCTCCCGCATCTCCAACTTCGGCTCCCAAGTCGACTCGAACCCCCTCCGATGTTGCCACTGGACCAGAACCAAGGGCACCTCTTTGTTTCTCAGAACCTTCACCTTTCGATCTAAAATCGCGATCGATCTCTCAATGTAATTCAAGCTCGCATCCACTTGAATGTCCTTTAGGGTTACCACTGCCATCTCATCAGCTACACACTTCCTCAACAGAGATACGTGGAAGGTGTTATGAATCTGACTCAACTCCGTTGGTAGCTCCAACCGGTAGGCTATTCAGCCTACTCTGGTGGTCACTCTGTAAGGACCGATGTACCGGGGCCCCAACTTGCCTCGTTTCCTGAATCGGATCACCCATTTCCATGGAAATACCTTTAGGAGGACAAAATCTCTGACCTGGAATTCTCGATTGGATCGTCGCCCGTCTGCATAACTCTTCTGGCAACTCTAGGCCGTCAGTAATTGCTATCTAACCTGCTGAATCTGCTCAGTCATCTTTAGCACTATCTTAGTGCCACCCATTACTCTCTGTCATACCTCTCCCCAACAAATAGGAGTCCGACACCTCCTCCCATATAATAGCTCAAAGGGAGGCATACCAATACTCGAATGGTGGCTGTTGTTATAGGAAAACTCAGCCAGGGGTAAATAAGTGTCCCAACTTCTTCCAAAGTACATGCCAGATGCACGCAACATGTCCTTAAGCGTTTGAATTGTCCGCTCGTTCTACCAGTCTGTCTGCGGGTGGTACACAATACTAACGTGAAAGCGCGTTCCCAAATCCTCATGAAATTTCTTCCATAATCTGGAAGTAAAGCGATCGTCTCGATCTGACACTATCGAGATCGGCACTCCATGCTGAGATACCACCTCTCTCACATAAATCTAGGCTAATCTCTTTGCAGAATAGCTCTCACTAATAGCAATGAAGTGAGCAATCTTCGTCAGTCGGTCCACAATCTCCCAAATCACGTCAACTCCACGCGCAATCCTCGGTAACTTGGTGATAAAGTCCATAGAGATCTGTTCCCACTTCCACTGGGGAATCTTTAGAGGCTGCAATAGACCATGTGGATGCTGGTGCTTTGCCTTGACCCGACGGCAGGTCAAGCACCTCTCAATTACCCAAGCAACATCCCATTTCATACAGGGTCACCAGTAATCTATTTTCAGGTCCAAATACATTTTAATAGCCCCTGGATGGATCAAGAATCTCGATATATGTGCCTCCTCCATCAGTATACACCGAGATCTGTCTGTAAAGGGCACCCAAATCCGCCCTCGGAAATTCATAAGCCCTCGGCTATCCATCGTAAACTTGGAAACCTGTCAAATCACCCCTCCATCTTGCGGTTCTCCGATCTCACGACTTCCACCTGAGCCTCTCGAATGGTATCTAAGACTGGAGTCATCACCGTCATCCTCATACACATATCCCGTATCGGAGCACTCTCTGATCTGCGGCTCAGGGTGTCGGCTACCACATTAGCCTTACCCAAATGATATAGGATCTCACAGTCATAGTCTTTCACCACATCCAACCATCTCCTTTGTCTCATGTTTAGGTTGGGCTGATCCATGAGATACTTCAGGCTCTTGTGGTCCGTGTGTATGGTACACCGGACCCCATACAAATAGTGGCGCCAGATCTTGAGGGTGAACAACACTGCCCCCAGCTCCAGATTGTGGGTGGGATATCTCATCTCATGAGGCTTCAATTGCCTCGATGCGTATGCTATCACTTGCCCTCTCTGCATCAGCATCGCACCCAACCCGGATATAAATGCATCACAGAAAAACACAAAGTCCTCCACTCCCTCGGGAAGGGCTAACACCGGGGCTTCGTGCAATCTTTGGTGGAGAGTCTCAAATGAGGTCTGCTGCTCAGGACCCTAAGTAAAAGTAACGCCCTTCCGATTTAACCTGGTGAGGGGGACGAAAATCTTGGAGAAATATTTGATAAATCTCCGATAATAGCTGGCCATCCCAGAAAACTCCTGCACCTCCCATCATATAACTGCCTCAGTCTTGGTCAGGTCGACCAATATCCCATTTTGATTAATGAGATGTCCTAGGAACTGGACCTCTCGTAACCAGAATTCACACTTGGAGAATTTGGCATACAACCTCGCCGATCTCAAAACTCCAAGAATCTCTCTCAGATGCTCCTCGTGCTATTCTCTGGATCTTGAATACACCAAAATATCATCGATGAACACAATCACCGATCGATACAACATAGGCTTGCACACCCTGTTCATGAGATCCATGAATGTTGTCGGTGTGTTGGTGAGCCCAAAAGGCATCACCACGAACTCGTAGTGCCCATAATGATTCCTAAAGGTCGTCT